ATATATATCTTTCCACTGATATGGAAGCTACAGTAAAAGCATGCACCATAGGGTCTATGAAATCTGTGTCTAACACACTACTGTCCTACTGCCAGGATAAGCAGAGTGTTTCAAAAATATTTAGATGTGACTTCACACCTATGTATACACACACGCGCGCGCAGACACTTCATCACAGGCACTCGGAAACTTGGCCTGACTAAATGCACCATCCATTCACTTATCAGCGTCACAAACACAACACACAACACACTGATGACAGCAAAAACGACCTGCAGAGGTTAAATGTAAGCTGTGTTTCAAACTGAGGATGGAGAACCAAAAAAATAAAAAATAAAAATAAAAAATGAAAAAAATTTAAATAAAAAAACACGAGGATAAATCACAAAAGATACGCCCAGATGATGGCCTATATGGAGCAAACAGCCATCATCATCATCATCATCACCATCATCCTCCTCATGATAAAGAGTCAGATCTGTTGTTGTTCCAAAGCTCCACATGCCATCAGAGAAAGAGAAAAGCAAACGCCTCCAGTTTCCCAGAGGTCCCAAACACAAACACCCACATCTGCTGCAGATGTGTGAAGTTGTCCTACCTGGTCCCGCGGAATGCAGGGCAGCGAAGTCCGGCGGTGGGACTTGCTGTTGCTCTGACTGTGAGCCATCATCTCCGAGGCCGCTGCGGAGCTGGACCTCCGTCTCCTTTTGAAGACAGGGATGTCCTCCTCCTTCGCCCCGGTCACAGAGCCACAGCACCCCGTCCCGCTGGTCCCCGAGGCCGGCAGAAGCCGGTCAGCATACCTCGCAAGCAGAACCCCCCCAGCAGCCCCAGCAGGTAGGCCAGGTAGGGTCTCCAGCCGGGCCGGACTCTGCTCAGAGACAGCAGGGACGCGGCCCGGATGACGCTAACGGAGACGAGCGCGGACACTCCCTGTCCCGGCCGGACGACCAGCAGAGCCCCGCTGCCCAGGCAGCCGAGGACGAGCAGGGTGGCGGCGGGGGGACGACAGCTCCTCCTCCGCGCCGCGCAGCAGGAGCGACTGCGCCGCCGCCTCGCCGAAGTGGCACACCGCGAGGAGGAAGAGCCCGCAGCGGATCAGAACGAGCCAGAGCCAGAAGAAGGCACATAGGAGGGTGAAAACAGAGGAGACGCAGTGACACGCAGCGGAGAGCAACTCCACGGCGCAGTGAAAAGCAGAGCCGCAGACACTAGTTCCGCCCGCATCCCACTCCACCAGTGTGAGGAGCAGGAGCACCGCGGCAGCGCAGAGAGCAGAGGACACTCTCGGGTATGTCCATGTCACGGCGAGGCTGAGCCACGACTGGCTCGGCTCGTCCCGGTGCAGCTGGGGGCACTCATGTCCTCACGTAGCCGCTGCGCTCCGACGCTGCCCGGGGAGGTTTCTCATCATGAGCCCCTCTTGCCGCCGTGTGCCTCCCAGGCCATGGTGCTTATCACTCAGGGCACTGGGCTTTATGTCCCAGGGAAATAAAAACAGGTTTAGTTCCTGTGTGTCCCTGTTATTTCCATGATAAGACATGTGATCAGTCTGTGCACGCACTGGTCTGTGATGCTGCAAGTTTGGCAACTTTACTCTTTGTTGAACTTGGCAATAAGTTGTCGAAAAATAAATAAAAGCAAAGAAAAAAAGTAACCATCACTTTGGTTGTTTCACACATGTAGGTCTCTCTCTCTCTCTCTCTCTCTCTCTCTCTCTCTCTCTCTCTCTCTCTCTCTCC